TGAAAATTAGGTTTGCATTAAAATTGTTGTTAGCCTTAATTTTTTATTAGTTCTTCTCGATTATTTTTAAAAACACTGGAAATGTTCATATTTAACCTCTCAAAGTACTAACTTTCAAAGATCTAATTTCCTACCAATCAACACCCTCTTAAAAAAATTACATACACATTATTGTTAAATTAATGCATTCATCTAAAATAATTTGTGCAACAATATAAATATGTAATTACAGTATTCAATATAATGATTTATATTTTATACATACAATACATAATATGTTATGGACATTTTTGAAGATATGGAAAGATTTCAAGATTGAAAGTGATATTAATTATTAGTACAATAGGTAATAACTTGGGTAGTAAATTTTAGAAATTAAATAAATTAAAGTAAGGAAATGTAAGAGCACATTTGTATATTTAAAATAATTGGCACAATTTAATTTATTTTTTACTGACATAAAATTTTGAGAAGAAAATTTCTAACGATATTCTCAMGAATAATATTTAATTAATAAAAATAGTTCAAGCTTTATTAAAAATATTAAGATACATATAATTATTAACCACAGTTAATCGAGTTATATTTGAATATATTTAAATTATTATTGTTTAATATAATATACAATAAAACCTAGATTCTTTGAATTAATTAAGACTGAATATAAGGCTGGATACTGGAAAAAAATAAATATTTTTTTAAATATGCTTAGATACGACMATGTTATGTTACATATTATTACATTATGGATTACTATTTATTAATATATTAGAAATATTCAAATATATAATCACAGAGTACATAGAAACATGTTGATGATAWTTTTTGATAAACATTGGACAATAGAATAATAGCTGGTTGGTATAATGGAGATTCAGATAATTAAGGTTCAACTGCAACTCATTTAAAATAATTTTTAGAAATATAATGTAGATATTTTAATTTTCAGATAAAATAACTACTAAAGATATTATGAATATAATTTTAACATAATTAATATTGATATAAAWGAAAGGTACTTACCAAGGTTTTTTTTTCATCGTAAGTATTTTAATTTAATATATTATACTTAGAGATGTGTCGTACGCGAACGAACGCCGAACGGATCAAAGTGAACGGTTCAAAAGTGTGAACGAAACAATCCGGATCGTGAAATAATAAAAAGTCGTTCTTTCGTTCATTCGTTCAATTTCGTTCTCGTTCGGATTGCATTGCTACCAACTCAAAATTCTTAATAATGACCGTATTACATGTTCAACAATATTTCGTTCCAATAGACATTTGTTCCAAAAACTTTTGTCCCAAAAACTTATTGGAACAAATTTAATTTGATAAAGAGAATATTGGAACAAATGTTTTTGTAGCATATAATATCCTATGGAACAAATATCATTGGAATAATTGGTTATAGGATTAATTCAACTAAATATATAAGAACAGCTGCTGCTGCTGATATGGTTTGCAAAAAAATTCAGAGTGATAAGCAGTTGTCCGAAAGTTAATAAGAGTGGTTAGGTACGATGGTTACCTTTTGGTTACAGTGTGATCAACTTGAGGTGGCGTTGCACAGCAAGTCGAGGGATATTTTCGATTTGCGGASCGTAGCAATGGCGCCGAGGAGCGTAGCGACGAGTGCCGCTAGCATGGCATCACTGACATGCATCACTCTAAATTATTTCGTATTGGTGTCACTGACTGCTGGATCTCTGGTATAAGTAAATAGTTGGTCTGGACCACGAACATATTATAATTGTAATAGTAATAGTAATTGGTTTGGACGTCTAGTGGTATATACTTCCTTATCATTTTTCGGACAACTTACTGCCCTCAACTCAAAAAGTCAAAAGTTCATCGGAACAAAATGTAAATGTGAAAATATATAATTGGATGAAATTTATATGGAACAAATGTCTTTCGATAAATAGGTATTGGAACAAAAGTAAAATTTGGAAATTAATATGATTGGAATAAGTTGACTAGGAACAAAAA